CAACAGATAAGGGGTGATCAATTAGAAAAATTGGTGAACAGAAATAATACAGATTTTTAGATGCTTGAAATCAATGGAGTTCTAAGTGCTTTTGTGCTTCATTTTGAACCATTCTCGGTCTTTTTCCGTTCACCCCAAGAAGTTTCAACAGCAATATATGTGGAAATCATACTCAATATTGTCTTTATCACAATTGCAAAGTCCTCTTATTTCTTTCACTCTTTTAAGTTGTCAAAATGCAAGAGGAGTTTTGGTTTAAGTTCACATCATGTTTTAGTTTAGAATTTTGTACTCTTTTGATATTCCTTCCTATTTAATTAATTTTAAGTAGTTAGGGTTTTAGTTTAACAGGTTTAGATTTATAAGTTTTAAGCATTTTTTTTTGTCTTTTGGTTTAGTTCAGTATTTAATTCTGTGTCTTTAATAAATTTACATTTACCCAAATCAGGTTTGTATTATAAGTTTTAAGCATTTTTCTTGTGTTTTGTAATTTGTAAGTTCTCACACAACTGATTCTCTTTATCATCAATGAAAGACCCCCTAAAAAATTTACCAAAAATTAGTGCTTTTTCAACATAAAAATCTAAGCTGTTTGTTTTCAACATCACATGCATTTGCAACTTGCAAGCTAAGAGCATGTTCACATAGTTCATACAAGTTCTTATTGGAGGGATTGCTCTTATTGAATTGCTTACAAATATAGCAGGCATGATCCGTTTATGGACATGGTAGTTTATTGAGCATTTCTTAATTTATTTGTTTCCTTAGACACATACATTAGGTACATACACAAATTAAATACAGATACGTCAACCACAAGCAGTTGTTTACACTTTTTGCATACTTACTCTCTCTCTCTCTATCTATATATATATATATCAAATGAAATCCTTGATTATGTTTTAAGTCACTTTTGTTTTCTTATCCTTACCAATCCTATTTAAATAAGATTAAAGAAATTGAAGTATGATTTTATTTTTGAACAAAGCTTCAATAATTGAACAGATTGGTACTAACACAGGCACATGCAGTCAAGAATCAACCAAGTGATTACACCCAATTTGGTTAAGATCTTTACCTGCTTGCAGTTGATCATCCATTGGTTCAAATATCCCATGCATCACACGGGCCATTCTACTAATTTGAAAAAAAAAAAACTAAAAAAAAGACATGTGGTTCAAAGTGCCAATACACCTCTGCCAATACACAAAGGTGTATCAATACTTTGAACTATTGCCAATACACAAAGGTGCATCAATACTTTGAACTATAAGTATATGGTAATTGGATTTTGAATCATGACCAGGTCTGACCAACCGCTCAGGTCAACAAAGAGTTAGAAACATTGGTTTCTGGCTGAGATATAGGCCTTCAGCCCAAGATTCTCAAGACCAGACTGGGTTGGGCCAGTCTCGGGTTAGGCCCATCCAAGTTGCATCTTTGGAATGTTCATCCATCCAAAACCATGCCATCTGGAAATGCATTTAAGAAGAGGTTTCTGATTTTGACAGCTAGTTAGGTTTCTGCTTTTTCATGGCATGGGGTCTTTGGATGGAGATAGATTGTAAAGGAATGGCCCATTGATTTTAAAGAAGTGACCCATTTCTTTCTATTGATTTGATCTTGAAATAGCGCTCAGGATCACATGATAGGGCATAGAAGAACAAGTTTACTTTTATTAATTTGGAGTTAGAAGGAATAGAGGATAATTTAATTTGGTGTTGGCACACACTGTTTCAGTGCTGGCCTCTTAATGGAACGATGCCATTGAATTCACAGATAACTATAAGCTAAGCAAGGTTTAAAATATTGATACGTACGAATGTATGCATATCGGGTGTTTCAATACTGTAGAAAATTATTATTTTTTTAATATATTTTTTGCTTTCAGATTTTCATATGAGATCAGTGTTTATGTGATTTAACATTTAAAAATTGGAGTTTTTGGAAAAGCCCAAGTCATATCAATAACCTTATATTACATCGAAAATTTGAACCTTGAATAGAAGACCTTGCAACAAAGCTTTCATTTGCTTTTTAAGAAAAAATATTCACCCTTCCCTTGCATATGTTGAAAACAATTTTAAGGTGCAAAAACCTAGGTGATGCTTCAATTGTTTGAAAACAAAGGAAATATCTGAAGGTAGAATTATTAATGGATGGATGGATATGAAGTCTACAGGGGAGGGGACTCAAAAACCTTACCCCTCTTAAATCTATACAAGTGGATCTCCAGCTCATAAATAATACAATGAAAAAACTGATTGGAGACCCATCAATAAAGGTAAAGAAATTAGGGTCTGTTTGGTTCGTAAATCAGAAAAGTCTATTTCTCCACTTGTTTAGTTCAAATAGGAATCAGAATCGAAATCAAAATCAGCTAGAATGGATTCTCATTCCCAAGGGAGGGGGTGGGAATAGCCATCCCCTTAAATGGGGGAATGCTATTCTGCCAAGAATAAGAAGAGACTCCGATTCCATCCAACTAAACGATTGGAATCAGAATGGTTCGATTCTAAACCACTATTCCTGAAAACCAAACAAGCCCTTACATCCATGGAACAAAAAGGAATTCTAGGTGACTAGATCCATCCATTCTAACTGCATGCATTCTTAACATTGGCAGGGAGATCTTCAAAGCTGTCAGCCATCATGGAATATATTGGGGAGTACTAGCAGATTTGGCAAAGTAGATGTAGATCCTGAACACAATTGCTTTCCCTGTAGATGTTGCAGAAGGTACAATTGAATAATCTTGCAATTATTTCCAGCCAATACCAAAGTTTCCAAGGCCACTCGGCTGATCCATTAATGTGCTTGACTATGGCACACGTGGGTCAAGAGGTGGGCTACAGGGCTAGGTGTTATAGACACTGGTTTTGTGCTTATTCAGTCTATTCACTTAGTATATGTTTGGTATTGATGTTGCAGATATGTGTGGGTTGGAAGTACCGTTTTTTGAAAAAATGGTATTCTTTTTTTCTGTTTGGTACCAATGCTCTAGGAAACGTTTTCAGTACTGGTACCCATTCTCCAGTGCCACATCACTGCCACCTCACAATCCTATTGGCAGCAATAAGCTACAGCTCCGGGAAACGCCAAATTCAGCATTGCTCTAAGCTATGCCTTCCCGATTTCTAAGGCGTGGCTTAGAGCATCATTTTTTATGAAAAAGCAGTTCCAAATAAATGCCTGTTTCCTAGAGCACCATTTTTTCCTATGTAGCACCATTTTCTGAAGCAACGATGACGATGTGGCACCGTTTTAGTGTGCCTACTCAGTGTGCAATAGGAAACTCTCTTGCACTCACCGGAATCCCTATAAACTAGTGAACTTCCTTGCATGCAAACGTCTCTTTGTTTCTCAAATAAGTTGAAAGCTTTATTTCACCCATAAGGGCAAAACTCTTCCTAATGCGAAAAGAATAAGTACCAAGCTATTCTAGGTGATAGTGGAGCATTTAGTTGCTTCGGTGATAGGATTTAACAAAGTGAAAACTAAACCATGGTTTAATTTCATAGTTTTATATACTAGAATTAAGCATGGGTATCGATGCTTTTTACTATATGACACCAAATCTCACCTTAATAAATGGAAAATAATCATATCTAAAAGAAAATAGCATTTAAATCTATTATTTTCAATATTTCATGCACAATATTGTTATGTAATTAGTATAAGAATTGCATGTCAAAATATTATCAGCAACTAAGGAAGGCAATAATTTTATATTAATAAAAGATTTAAGAAGCAAAGTAATGAAAAAGGAAAAAAATAAATAAGAGGTGAACTGCTTATAAATAAAAAAATACCTCCATTAATTTATCTTCTCTTTTTTCTCTCTTCTCAAAACCCTTAGATTTCTTATGTTTTAAAAGTAATGCCCAAAAAGAATATTATAATAATATACTACCATATTAATAATATTAATAATATTATAATAAGGTATCCCCTTTATTATTTTTTCTGCTTAAAGCCCCTAGACACTTAGACTGGTACCCTTTTTGACATATGTCACCAGGGACACCATGTCACCTAAGCGACACCTTGGATAACCAAGAACAAACCTCAGCCGTTGGATTTAAACACAGATTCCATGGTCAAGAATACAAGGCATGAGATTAACAATATCCTTCCCAGAATACCCCTGATAAGGCTGGTATTTATGACAATCCACTCTCATCCCAGTCCCCACCCTGCTCCATATGTTCTGCTTTAATAATGGGCTGGGCAGGTTAGGGGCTAAGATCCGGTTCAGTGGGATCGGTTCATATTGGCCCAATCCCCATTGCCCAGCTCTACTTGATAGAGGTCTTCTTCACTCTTTCCTCTTTAATTAATTCTAATTTTAATATATGAAGTTAATTTATTGGAGAGTAGTAGAACCAACCCAGACAAAACTGCATAAATATCAGCAAGTAAGACGAGTTCTAATGGAGTGCCAAAACACCACTTTCACGAATTGATCATGGTTGTTATTTTTAGTGAGTTCAGATTTCTGAAAGCCGAAAATCCATTAACCCACTAGTTTTAGAAGAAAAACTGATTCATTCCACTATTACTAATTGAGAAAGATGTGTCAGCATGAACTAACCTCTTAACAACAATATCAACAACAAATAGCAGTCACCAGGAGTGGATGAGGCTGTTCCCATGATTAAGGTCAAATGGAGCAGGACATGACGTGATCACAGATGTCATTGGCTTAGAACAAAAGCAAGCAAAGCTCAGTAATGGAGATTTATTGGATTCACCACCGACCAACAAGTCAGCAACCCAACGAGAAAACAAAGCGAAAAAGAGAAATCCTCCACTATATAAAATCTATAAAGTCTGTTGGTCGTCAGACAAGAAGGTCCACCCAAAGTCATAGTAGAAAGATTTTGTGTAGCTGATAACAGGAAAAGAGATGATGATCTAGAATATATTTATATATATCTCTTCTTTATTTCTCTGGAAGTGTTCGATCGATCTCCTTCTCTTCTTTTGGTTTATTTATAAAAATGTTGAAATAGTATTGACTGGACACAGAGAGAGAGAGAGAGAAAAAGGGTAATAATAATAGCTAATAACAATGGATCAGTCTCTGGATGATTAAGAGATGGCAATGCAATAGGGCTCCCACATCAAAAGTGACCTTCGAGTCTCCTTGCAACCCGCCAAGATGGGAAGTAAGTAGTCTCCCTTGTTGCCCCTCATGAGCACCATCTGTGGCTGCTCGTTGGGCTTGTAGTTCTTGTACAGAAAGAATTTGTTTTTGTTGTTGTTGCTCACGGGTGATGGTGGTGGTTTTGATAACGGATGGATGGTTGGTTTTGCCGCCGGCTTGGTCCGCCAGCAGTAGTCGTAAGGATTGAATGAAGCTGCCACCGCCGCTGCTGGTGTTGGTATCAGCCGCGCCACCCTTGGGGGTGGCTGGAGTGACTGTGGTACTGGAGGAGTTGGCTCCACCTCCTGTTCTAAGTCAATAATCCTTCCTTTCTTGTGAGACCACGTTGGGTTCTTATTAGTCAAAGCCACGAGCTTATTCATAACAAGCGTTGACCTGTGCATGTTCATCACTCCAGTAGTTGACAGCCTCGGTGGGACATGACTGATCTTCACCTCCATCACAATTCCCCTGTCCCTCACTTCCTCCTCGACCCTCTCAATCTCTTCTTCTGTTTTGGATTCTTCTACGTCATCAATCTCCTTTGTTTCATCTTCCTTTTCTTCTTCTTCGTGTTCTTCTGATCTCAATTCTTGCTCTTCTTCTAAATTCATCTCTTCGTTGTCGTTGTACACGTCCGTCGACGGTGATTCATGGGGTGTGTTGTTGGTGAAGCTGAGGAGAAGACGCCCATCTTGGCGCTCGGCACGAAAGTAGTTGTGTGAAACGATGGGGACGGCCTCGAGGACTAACCGGCCGTCTCTGCGATGAGGTCGCATGTAAACGGACGGCCCATCCCGACGAGAAAGAGATGGCAGCGGGGGAGGGAATGATCGAGGGGGTGATTTCCTAATGGAAAAATTGTAATTTACAGCTCCGAATTCATCTTTATCTACAGTTTCCGATTCGTCAACCGGGGTTCGATGTTCTTCTTCTTCTTCTACAGCTGTTTCCTCTTCTGGGTTCTCTTCGACATCGCTGGACTCCGATGGTGGGTGGGAGGAAAACCCATCAGAGCCCGTCTCAGATCCCAGACTCTCCGTGCAAATCTCCAGACTCTTCTCACTTAACGAGCTCGTAGATCTTTTCACAAGCGGATGGACATAGGGAGCTGAAGCGTTTAAACCATTATCAGACTTCTGTGATAGAATAGAGCTCCAGATATCGAACTGCCCGGGCCTTTCAAGGTCTTTCTTCGCTTGTTCGGATTGGATTGAGTTCCAGATATCGAATTGGCCTCCACTTTGAAGCTCTTTCTTACTTTCTTCATCATCATCTTCCTCAGAAGCAGAAGAAGAAGACGAATCAATGATGGACGATGCAACAAGGAACCCTTCAGAAGATGCAGTCTTCTTCAAATGGGAGAACCCATGTTGAGCCAACCAGGACTTAGAAGACATGTCCGCCGATAGAGTCCTTCTCAACGACGGGGCGGTCTTGGGTGGTTGGTCGTCAGACCCAAGAATGGATCGTATCCCCTGCTGCTCTGCAACCTTGGCCTCTTCTTCCATTCGCAAGGCAACCGACGACGATGGCTTGAGGCCTTTACTAACCGAAGAAGTCGACATATCCGGCAGCTGGGGTGGTGATCGATAGGAGAAGAGTTGCACACTCTGCAGATATACAAAAATGAGAAAGAAATCCAAGAAACAAAGGCTAATGAAGCAAGCATAGAAGTGGTGCTCTATACTACAAAGGTTCTCATACTCTGAACAAACACAACACACCCATCAAAGGAGAAGTAGGGAATATAAGTAATAACAAGATATATATATATATATATAGAGAGAGAGAGAGAGAGAGAGAGAAGAGATAGATGAATGAGAGAATGTTTTTACCTCAAACAGACAAGAGCATCCAACAAAGAGACAAGGCAGCAGAGATGGCTGAGAGAATTGCAGTGTGTGAGAGAGATGGGGTATCGATATGAAGAAGATTGTGGTTGTGTGTTTGAAGTTTGAAGAGTCCGTGGCGGTTTGCAAGAGAAGGGGGGAGGGGCGGGTATTTGTAGTGAGAAAAAGGCTACGGAATCTGTCCACGGGGCCACGGGGGGTCCCGTTTGCACCACCACTGACCACTGTTGAAAGATCACCATTTTATTTTGAATTTATTTATTTCTTTCTTGTAAGCATTAGTTTTTATTGAAAGCAGGAAGGAAGGGAAGGAAAAGGTGGGGAGACAGAGAAGCCCAAAGAACGCTCTGCGTCACTTGCTAATTAAGCAAGAAAAAAAGTGGCTTAAAACAGAAGCAGGGGAATCTCAGGTCCAACATGATTGGGCTACCAAGTAAGGGTGGAGAGAGGAGAGAGAGAGGAATCGTTTAAGAGAAAAGGAGATTAAAAAATAATTACAATTAAAATAAGAGAGGAATAATGGGGGATGGAAACAGTGGAACACGTCACTTCCTATATGGAAGGGTTGAAGGAGGTCTTCTAATTGGGAAAAGTCCAGTGGGCAATACGTATATAAAGCAGTGCCACGATACGTCCTCCACTCACTTAAAAGGTGGTGATGTTGATGATCAATTCAAAGAGTGGAAGAGAGAGAGATGGATAGTGAGAGAGAGGTGAGAATATATGTATTTGTTTATAATTTTTAGAGAGAGAGAGAGAAAGAGAGAAGAGGTAGAGTAAAAACCCTTCTAGGACAAGAAATCAAATTAAAATCCACTTCTTCCTTGCCAAACAGCGAGGGAAACAACAGAAATCCGGATGAGGATGAGTTTATCTTCTTAGAAAGCAAATACCACTACTTATTGGTCAAAATCTGGTGACTCTGAAGCTCTCTTGAATCATCTCCCTTCCCAAACATGTTTGTGTTTGCATATGGAATTGGAATTGGGGCATGATCAGGGGACCGACCTAGCAAGTTTCCAGATTTCACTGTCTGGTTTAGCAAATTTCAAGTTAATCAAGTATATATTGTGCCTTGCAATTCTAAAATTGCTAGAAGACTAGCTAGCTGCTAGTCATTTGATTTCCTGCTAGCTGGTTAGATATTCAAATCGGCATGTTTTAGATGGCCTTGGGGGAATTGGCATTCTAAAATCTTATGAGTAATACCTCTGAATTATATGTTATTGGTGTAAAGCCTTATTTTAATGTCTAAATAGTCTGTATCTATTCTGATCATGTCCATTTATCATCAATTAGAGCAGTGATTATAACCATTTTTCTCTTTGAACATGGGTATGACAGATAATTTTTGTCATTAATTAGAACAGTTTTAAAATGTTGAAAGAGTAAACCAAGCATTCACACACACAACTAATCAGTGACAACTTGTGATTTAAATGATTCAAAGTTCAAACACTTATTGGTTAAAGAAAAAATTTCAGATATAAGTGGGTTAGTTATGTAACAAAAAGAGGACATAGCCACTTATATGATTAATTTCAAACATAATTACAAATAATTTAAACTCCTAATGCCTCCTTAGATGTTAGAAACCAGCCCTAATGATGGTTCACAAGATCAGACTATATATATGTGTGTAAAATGAAGGAATAAAAGCAAAATCAATGATCTTGTGAATGAATTTGGATCTACTATCTTAAGTTTTCAGCCTATATAATGTAAAATCTCCATAAAAATCAAACTTGGGTATAAATTGCTTGAACCCAACTTTTTACACCCTTCTGTTTAAACTTTTTAGCAATGTTATGGGCCTGCCATTAATTCTTTTGCTAACATTGTCTACATCGGATGTTTCAATACTGTAAACACTATTTTTTTTTCCTCTGATATTTTCACAGGAGGGTTGATTTTAAGGATAATTAACACTTAAAAAAACTAAGTTTCTATAAAAGCGCCTTAATAATAACGTCTTGATCAATCACTAATACGATACGATATATCCAATACGGGATGTAATGTGTCAAAATTTTGAACCTCGAAACAAACCACAAGAAAAAAAATTGGAGTGGGAAGTTAAAATGATAGTGAACTTCTTGGTTTCTAGGATATTCTTTTAGAAACAAACACGACCCTGTAAACCTAGTGCTTTGATGAATTAAATGCAACAACTACTAAGTACTAACCTAAAGTGGACCCATTTGGATGGTGAGGTTGTTAGTAAGTCAGTCATTTTATCAAGTTTCATGGCAGCTTTTATTTGCTTTCCCAACTTAGAAATAGTGAATTTGAATAGACCAAGGCTCTGATGTTAATTCCATTGATGCATGCATTGAGTAAAGATTCTAATCCAACAGTTGGTGCACAAGTGCTGTAGAATCCTATTTCTTGTTTAAAGATTCTAGTTCAATGGTTTTCTAATGGGGTCAATAGTGCTATGACCTTTAGGTCTATTCCATCTTGTCCTACAAATACCCTTCCTATTTCCGACAATAGAATTTCCTGTTCTTTAAGCCAAAGCTTTTCAAAAGGATTAGAATAGTCTTGGTTTAATGCAGATTACTATACAAATGCACAGTTTTCTCAAGGATTATCAGAGTTCAAATCATCCCCCGAAAAAATTGCCCCCCACAATGTCTTACAGCATATTTTTGTTGTGTATTGAGAACATCTCCCGATGATAATATCAGAAATGATGATGTCAGTATTGGGAGATGTTCCCAATACACAACGGGATGTGCTGTAGGACGTTATGGGGGGCAATTTTGTGCGGGGGGCTGATTTGATCTCAGATTATCAATATAGAAGCTTCTTGGGTTTTTTTTTTTACATGGGTGGCTACCTATATCCTATATTTCTTAAGGCTGTGTTTGGTTGCAATGCAATTTTATTTACACTAGTACAAACATGGGAGTGCAAATGTAAAAAATGCAAAATTTGGTTTAATTTTGTTTTGAATTTTACTTTATTCTATTTCATGTCTTAATTTACTTCATTTGTACTGCAATCAAACAAAATAAGCTAAAATTTGATACAAAAATAGGTCAGAATTTACACAAATAATTTGCAACCAAACACAGCCTAAGATTTTTATATATTTTCTTGCAAATTTCAAGAAATAGCATGTAAATTTTATCTTGGGAATTAAGCAATTATATATGTCTGACTTAGATTGGATGTAAAACTGTTTTGGCCACCGTGTCACTGGTTGAACCATCTGATCATCCAGTTAGATCGACCGACTCGATCAAATAAACATTTCAAAAATAAAAATTAAAAAAAATAGAAATGAACAGATGATTAAACCTAACAAATCTATTTATGGTAACCTTGACCAAATCAATATTTCTAAGAATTGGGTATCCAAGGATAACTATTTGGATTAACAATTCCCAGTCTGATCAGTCCAACTTACCAGTCTGATCCACTAGAGTTGAATGGATATATAGATTGATGCTCCATGACTAAGACCATAATTTTATGTAATTTTGAAAGAAAAGGGTTTTGATTCGATATAGGGTCTTCACATAAGTGGGCGCATTTAGCCAATGGATTGGTGTCAATGAAACTTAAACTAATACAAGATGGGGTACTGTGTTAGATAGATTCAAATCTGATGTATTCATTTGATGCGAGACTGTTGATTTATTGAATCAAAGGAAGAGAAGAGAGCAAAGAAAAGAAAAAAAAGCCAAAAAGACTTACCATCTCAATTATAAAATTATATATTGTTTAATTGGTGATGGAGGGGTTACGTTGCAATTGGAATCTGAGTATGTGGTGTCAACCAAAGTGTAAAAGGCTCCAATCCAATCAATCAATATTGGAGTCTAGAGAGGACAGCCATATGTCGGTATTCCTCACGAGGATTCCGATTCCAGACCAACTACTCTGTAAAAACCATTTTATAAAGACAAATACAAAGGATAAAAACAAAAGGATTACTTAAGAGAAGAGACAGATTGGGAAAGAGAGGAAATAAAATATGTAGAAAAAAAAGGAGACCAGGCGTTATGGAAAGAGAGCATATGGTTCTGTCCACCAGCTTTTTTTAGCACAACTTTCCCTCTCTTCTCTCCACCTCTCCATGAATGATTTACATTAATTAGGATTTAGGGGCCGTTTGCTATTTGCTGAAGCTAATTGTTGATCTGAATAGGTTTATATATTACTTTATTATCAAGTGTGGATAGGTCAATTAAGTAGGTTCTGAGCTACCAAATGATTCTCATGCCCTTAATATTTTTTCATATTACTATTTTCTACTAAAAGACAAAATAATAAATTGTTGAGTTTAGCCACTCCAGCCTTTTATCAAACAGCCCTTTACTCAATTTCGTGTGAATAATCTATTTTTTATCCAAATGAAAAATAGAAAAATCTATTTTTTCTATTTTTTTTGGGGGNGGGTTTGCATGAAAGTACTAGGACAATTGTTGCAGATGTGTGAATTCTTCTCCTTTCTCTTATTATTATTATTATTATTATTATTATTATTATTACCATAAAAAGAAACTTTAGTTACAGGCTCATCAGCTGTGCCTGTACTTGCATAGATTACAACTGGTTAGGCTATCTTTGCTTTAATTCACATAGTAAATAAAAAATAAGATTATTTTATTAATTTAATAAGCGTTTATGTTCCCCCTAAGAAGCTAAGACTTACATAACTAACACAAATCAGCATCAACTTGTTTCCCCAATAGATAATTCCCTTCAACACTAGCGTCAACTGATGAGATGATTTATCTAAATATTTGTTTAGTTTTATTATTATATTTGTCAAGACATACTTAATTATTTATAGCAGAAAAATTACTCTTTTTTCTTTCTACATGTATTATATATTATTCCAATGTAAAGCTTTTGGATCTAAGACGTCAGCAGCACCTTCCTTTCCCTAAATTCTTTTAATTTCTTTTTGCTTAAATTCAGAGAAAAAGAAAGAGAAGAAAAGGTGAAACATTAATAGAAAGAAAAAGAGGTATTCTCCCCCATCAAATGTAGCTTTGTAAGCTTTCTCATTGGCTTTTAATAGCTTCATTGTTCTAAGTTGATGTCTTATTATTATTAATTATTAAATCCAATTAAGGAAAGGAGGGGTGGCCTTAATC